TGAACACATGTGTGGAAAGGAAGGAAGGGAGGGAGGAAGGGAGGGAGGGAGGGAGGGAGGGAGGGAGGGAGGGAGGGGAGGGGAGGAGCTCGAGGAGGGGAGGGGAGGGGAGGGGAGGGGAGGGGAGGGGAGGGGAGGGGAGGGGAGGGGAGGGGAGGGGAGGGGAGGAAGGCAGGTCTTCTGAAAACACTTGGTTTCTCTACCTTCAAGTTGTCAGAAAAAGAAACCTGGAGAAGTCCAAAAAGCAGTTTCTCTTGCTGCCAGTGCCTGGATTAACTGCTTTTCCACACAGAGAGGGTCCTTGCAGGGTGAGAGGGTTGTGCTGGAGAGGATCTTTGGGTGTGAAAACTGGCCCCCTCTGGGTGGTACGGTAGAAGGAAAAGGGACTTCCTGTTTCAAGACAGGCCATGTGTGATGCTAAAACACAGTTTGGGCCTCATCACGGTGAACCCAGGGGGGTGTTCTGCTTCCACCGTTGGAAAAGCAGGGAGCCCGGTATTTCAGGCCAGCTGTGGAATGTCACCGGGTCCAGGTTCCCTGCAGACCGTGGCCTGCCCATCCCCCACCTCGCCTTGCAAGCCTCAGGCGACAGACACCCTTCAGAGAGGTCCCTAATCTTGGTCTTCCCCGGAAGAGCCATGCCAGCAAGTGACAGACCGATCTGAGCAAACGGTTCTTGCACACTCAGGGTTTCTGCTGTCTTGGGGTTTCTAACTTTCCAGCCTGGGATGCTTAGGAAATGAGATCAAACGCCCCTGGAACCTCTTAATTGATCAGATCTGGCAGTGTCGGGCAGGGAGGAAAGGGAAGGAGGGAAGGGCGCTTGCAAAACTCTGAGCACCGCTGGTCACTCAAGGGTGAGGAGAATGTCAGAGAAGCACAGAAACCTCAAGAGGCAGCAGTAAAACGGAAAAGAAACCAGCGAAAAGGCACGAAGTGGAGCCTTCTCGCCGCTATTAATTCAACACTCGCCGCCTGCCAATTTTCTGAGATCGTGAAATGTAAATAGATAGATAGATAGAGTTCGTCTGGAACTTTTCGTTAAATGCTTAATCACTTAGCTCATTTCCACAGATTGGCATGAATTCAATCTCTCTCTTTTTTTCTCCCTTCACCACTTTTTTGGTGGGGAGTAATCCAAAGTTCCCAAGAGTTATCAAGTACATGGTTTCTCGTGAGACCAGGACAAATAAACAGCCTACAAAATGCATTTTGAGGGTTTTAGATTTTGAACCCAGATCACTATCTTTTCGTACTTCAAAACAACTGCCACAAAAGCGCAATTTCCTTGCTGCTTTCTAATTACTATGAATCACTTTTACTCACGCCCACATAGATTCGCAATTTTATTGCTACATTCATGTTTTCCATGACATAGTTTATTATGGTTAAGAATTTGACTTTACAGTGAATTTAGAAGCCATCTGCCTTTAAGAATGCATAATAATAACAAAAGATAGGCCCCCAAATCGCTCAGGAACGTGGACAACTACAGATTCCTTTGGAGCATTTGCAGGGTGAGTCTGTCTTTCTTCAAGGTCTGCTTCTCAATTGTTAGGGACAAATGTGACTTTTACTTGAAAGCCACATTTTAAATTGTTTACAATGTAGTCTGTTAAGTGAACTAAATTAAATTTCACATTTGCCAATTATATTTCTCGTCTGCAACCATTCACAAGAGGCTTCAAGTAAGAACTTTGACACAAGTCTAAACCACTCAGGGCTTTTAAGGTACTATCTACATTTTGTGTTAGCCTGGTTACAAAACTAGAACTTTCAATTCTAGTTTGGGGAATATGATTATTGGACAGCTGACTTCACTTAGAAGAATAGTTTCGGAGGACAGGGAAGTACTCAATGCAGGAGGGCATGTTTTTTTTTGTTTGTTTGGTTTTTTGGGTTTTTTTTGTTTTGTTTGCTTTTTGGGTCACACCCAGCGATGCACAGGGGTTACTCCTGGCTCTGCACTCAGGAATCACCCCTGGCGGTGCTCAGGGGACCATATGGGATGCTGGGAATCGAACCCAGGTTGGCCGCGTGCAAGGCAAACGCCCTACCCGCAGTGCTATTGCTCCAGCCCACGGAGGGCATGTTTTACATGTACGAGATTCCCTGGGTTTGGCCCCTGATCCTACCCTCTTCTAAATGACATGAAATATAGGAGAATCAAGCAGAGAAAATGAAATTGCTTTTTATTTTGTAAAGTTCCCACACAGAGCCAAGGATACGCTCGGTAGTGGAGGTCCTGGATTTGACACCACCAAAAATAAAAACGGACAACTGCCATCCATTTGAATATATGTGCTCAAATCTGCAATAGAGATTCAAAAGAAAGTGAAAGCATTTGTGGGACTGGAGATAGCTCAGCAGGCCTACCGCATGCTTTGCGTGCCTGAGGGCCAGGCCTGATCTCCAGGGTCCCGGAATATCACCAGAAATGACCCCCAGGCAGGGCCCTGGAAGTAGAGCCTGAGCACCACCAGGTGTGGCAAAGAAGAAAAAAAAAACAAAAACAGAAAACGGAAGCACTTAAAATCGTGGGTTCCCTTTGCATGGGGAGAAATGCAAATTGAGAAATCAGCTTCCCGTGTCAGCGATTTATTTTTCTTGCTCGAATGTGGGTCTGTCTGTCTCCTTACAAAGCCCTCCCCACTCAAAGGCATGGCCAGAAGTTATTTTATTAGGGGCCTGGAAGAACAGTACAATGGATAGGGCATCTGCCTGGTACAGGGCCCACTGGAATTCAATCCCGGGCACCCCCAATGGTCCCCACAGAGCCCCTACAGGAGTCATCCCCGAGAGCAGGCAGAACCAGGAGTTAGCTCTGAGCAGTGTGGGGTGTGGCCCAAGTCACACCTGGCCCCCTTCCAAAAAAAGAGTGATTGTCACACTAGAGAAGATTACCAAAACCTTCGAGAGAAACTAAAAAGCCTTTAACAGGAAAATAAAGGGGCAGGCACATTCTTGGGCCTGAACCATGTGGATTGGGTCATTCCACACCCATCTCCAGAGTACCAGGGGATCGCTGTCCACAAGCATCTGGGGAAGAAAAATAGTCTTGTTGACATAACAAATAAAAAATATCAGGCAGCGAATTTATTTAGATGGGGGGAGGGGAAAAAACTGGGAAGGAGGGGATCTTTGACCACTGCGTGGCCCCCTCTCTAAGCAAACCCTCCTGAAAGAAGCCAGGACTGCTGAGGGAAGGAAAAAGCACGCCCGGGGCGGAAGCAACGTGTCGCGCTGCAGAGGCAGGGGCAACAGGAGAAACCAGTGCAACTCGCAAAGCCGCCAGCACCATCAGATCCAGGGATTTCACAACAAATCATTTCGGATGGGAGGGAGGGAGGGAAGGAGGGAGGCTGGAATCTCGCCCAGCCCCCGACCCCTGCGCTGCAGGGCCCCGTCCCACCACTAGGTGGCGTCTGCCCAGGTTTCCAGCCCGCGGGGCGCGGGGCTGGGCCCGGGCAGGGGGGGTTGCGGAGGGGGTGGGGGAGTGGGGCGTCTTCTCCGCCGCTTCCCCTCCAGGACCGCGCTGGGAAGCCCCCCGCCAGCACCGCGCCTCGATGCAGTCTGCGCAAATGCCAGGTCCTTGGAAAGCCGGCAGAAAGAAAGAGAGAAAGAAAGAAAAAGCAAAGACACAAAACAAAACAAAACTCGGGCCTTGGGACCTGAGCTCCCCCCACCCAAGTAACCGCCTCCGTCGGACGCGCTGCGGGCGTGGGCCTGCCCGGCGGCTGCTCCCCAGCGCCCAGACACCCAGGGGCGCAGGGCTGCGCGGCGGCACCCCCGGCCCGGCCCGGGCCGCGCGCTCCCGCCGCGAGGGGCTGGCACCGACTGGGTCAACACCGGCCAGAAGTTCCCCTTCATTCAGCAGAGCGGCTGAATGAAAACAGCGAGGGCAGGGGAAGGCATGTCCGTGGGCCGCCGCGCGCGTCCCCCCGGGGTCCCCCCGCCTGCACCCGGGGTGTCCCGCGCAGCCCCCCGCCGGGCCCCGGGGGAGCCACTTCCCCTTCCCCCGGGGCGCAGACCTCGGCCGGCGCGACCTTCCGTGAATTCCAGGTGCTCCTAAATACGTGTTTTTTGCCCGCGCACCACGCCACCGTTTTTTCTAGGGCGCATCTCCGCTTCTCGGCTACTTTTTTTTTTTTTCATTTCGGCGAAGAGTTCCTGCCGGTCCCCCCCACCCCACCCTGCAAAGCGTTGACTCAGAATCTTCCCCCCCCCCACCCCCCCGTTCCACTTAGGTTATTTCCTACCAAACTAACGAGAGTTTGCACCCAAAACGCGCCGGACACGCCTTTCTCGAGAGCGTCCGAAGGGAACGGGGCAGAAGCCCACTCCTCAAAAACGCTGCCGCTGTTTCCCGTGTGGAGGGGGGGAGGATGGAGGAGTGGGTGGGCGTTCTCTCCTCCACCCAGGAGCAGTCCTCGACCCTTTTTTACTTCGCCTTTCCAAGGCTTCCTTCCTCGCGGCGGGATTTCCCTAAGAAACGTTCCCAGCGGACAGTTTGCAAAGAGCCTCTATCCACTCCCAGCCTGTGCAGGCGAAGAACTCACTCGGGCTCTGCCGATCCTACCCCACCACGCACCACACACACACACACACACACACACACACACACACACACACTCGCGGAACCATCCCGGGCCGCCTGGAAAAGCGATTGGATTCGCCTGTTCGCCCATCTCTTCCTGGACGAGTGCTTTTTTTTTTTTTTTTCCAGCTGACCTTTCAACAGCTGCCGCCGAGATGGCACCAAGTGCAGAGGGACTGACTGAGCTGGAGAGCTTGGACGGGTGGATTTCACAGCATGCCAACCCCGTGCAACCTCGGCCGCGTCCCTCCTGCCCCGGCCCGGCCCGGACCCCGAGGTGTATGTGTGTGTGTGTGTATTTTGCCGAGCGCAACCCTCCGACGGGGGGTCCCGCTGCGGGACCGCCGCACGCCGGGCATCCCCCGCCGCTGCCCGAAGCGCCCGCAGCCCGGCCTCCTCTTACCTTCCCTGGCTTTCAGCAAGACCGTGTTGGCCACGATGTTTTCCAGCTCCATTGACAGCCGGCGGTCAGCGAGGGGGCCGGCCGGCGGGGCTGTCAGCGCCTGCGGGTGCTGCCGCCGCTGCTGCTGCTGCTGCTGCTGCTGCTGCTGCTGCTGCTGCTGCCGCCGCCGCCGCTGCTCGGGCGGCCGCTGCTGCCGGAGCCGGGAGCCAGCCGGGAGCGAGCAGCCCGCCTCGCCTACCGCATTATTCCTGCCCGCGCCCCTCGGAGTTTTGCCCTCTTGCAAAGAGGCGCCGCCGCTTCTTCCTCCCTCGGTGTCCCCCCTCCCCCCCCTCCCGCAACACTCTCCCCCCCACCCCCCACCCTCCGCGTTTCTCTGTCACTCCATTCTCCTCCCCTCCGGCTCCCTCGGATGCTTTAATGCCTCGGATGCTTCTGCCTCCCCTCGGTCCCTCCCGGGGGTGTGGTACTCGCAGGCTCGGGCTGCTGCACTGCGCAGGCGCCGGCCCGGGCCCCGCCTCCCGCCTCCGCGCTCGCGGCGCGGGGCCTGCCGGGACTTGTAGTTTTTCCCCGCGAGCGCCGCCGCGCTGGGACCCCGGGGCGCGCGGGCTGCAGGGGTCCCGGCCCCGGCCGGTGACGGGGGGCCCGGGAGCGGACGCGCGGCCGAGCCGGAGCGCCCAGTGGTGGAACGGGGACTGGCACGTCCACGCCCTGGGCGCCGGATCGCCCTCTGCGCGCCTTGCGCTACAGGCCACGGCCGAGCCCGGCCCGGGGCGCGCCCCGCGGGGGGCTGCAACCCCCGGGGCGGCGCGGCGCGGCGCGGCGCGGCGCGGCGGCGGGTCCCCACCGCCCGGGCCGGGCGCACGCGCTGGCGGCGGACAAAGGTGCACTTTGTTCCCTCCCGGGGCGCCCAGGGGGGTCCCGTTGCCGGCGCCCGCGCAGCCCGAGCGCCCCCCGGCGGCCGCGCGGTGCAGGGGGCGCGGCGGCCGGTCCACGCGGACTCGCGGGCGCTGCGGGCGTGGGAAGCGGCCGACGCTCCTTGGAGCCGGCCCGGTGGGCGGGGGGCGCGCAGGAGGAGCCGCGCACCGGCGACCCTCGTGACCGCCGACCCGCGGGCCAGTTCCCAAAGGCTGCAGGCAGCGCGGCGCGCGGGTGGAGATGCGTTTCCCGATTCTTGGCGCATTTTTCTCTTGGGGCTCGCAAGAGTCAGGTCCCCCCGGGCGCGCGCGCGCGACTCTACATCTGCACCTCGCCTCTGGTCCTGGCTACCGCTGGAGAAAGAGCTCTCCTCCTCCTCCTCCGTCTAGGGGCGCGCGGGGTGGAGGTGGGGGGTCCTCGACACAAGTCCCCCAGGTTGGGGGAGGGGTGGACCGGTCCCTGGGAACAATGAGGCCTTTGCCTCCTCTGCTTTTTGCAGGCGGATTTCCGTTCAGAAGGAGGCTTTGGGCCTTCTCTGTCCAAAAGGAGGAAACCTTCTGTCCCCGGGGCTGCCAGGAAGTGGTGGGGAGGTGCCGAGAAAGGGAGAACAATTACTGTGCATTGGAGAAAAATAAAGACTTGAGTAGACTCTCCCGGCGCGGACACCCCGGCCGGCCGGCCTGGCGACTGCAGCTGCCCAGGACCGGCCCGTTTCCTGATGGAATCTATCCACCACCTCCACTTCCGGCTGCCCACTTGGGTTGGGGGATTCCCTCTCGCCCCCACAGCCTCAGCTCCTCACCTCCTCTGTAGAGCAGCACTGGGCAAGTACAGTGATCGCTCAAAGAGAGAGAGAGGACTGGGGACTAAATGAATGAATGATCCCCCAGTTTAGGAATTTTTCCCACCCCAAGACTTGTTCACAGCACCCCAGGCTCGGTCTGTGTCTGCAGGTTCCCAGAGCCCAGGTGAGAATGGAAGGATCTCAGGGCGGGAGAGAGAATGCAGTGGGGGTAAGGCCGCATGCCAACTACTACAGAGGGCAGCCAAAGGCGTGTTGCAGACTCCAGATGGTCTGTGCAGGGGCCAGGGAGATGACCCAGAGGACTGACTTTAACCTAAGGGAGGGTCCATGGCCGGCACCCCACAATCCCCTGAGCACCAGAAATATGGCCAAAGAAAGAGATTCCTGATCCAGAGCCGCCTCTCAGGAGCAGGGAGATGCCCTGGAGCTCTCGTCCAGAGGCAACTTCTGTTTCCCTAGGTCTGAGGTGGGTCTAGAGATGCCATCGGGAACAGGATCTAACAGGTCCATGGCTCTGCAGCCCACGCTTGGAGCTCACTGCTGGGAGAGACCGGTCCAAGTCACCTGCCACCTCACCCTTGGGGCTCTTACCGACGAGCGAGTTTAGGTAACCCAGAAGGCCCTGCCTGGCCCCATCCTTGGGCAAATAGGACTTCGACTCAGAAAGTAAGTGGGTTGGTGCCGGCATCCATTCCGTGAGTAAGGCCCATCTGTTCACTCCGCTGAGGCTTGTTCTTTCTCCAGAATCAACAGCTGGGAAATTATCTGGCTTCAAGTAGGACAGGAGGACGTTGCAGGACCAAAATGGACTGAAAATGGCCAGTCGGCGCCTGGGTATCCCATCCTGGCCTGCGTACTCTATTTGAATTCTTTCATCAGATGCAGCATCCTGGTGAGATGGAGAACAGAAGTGCCACTTTCTAGATAAAGCAATCAGGCAACCGGTTACAAGGTTTGGGTTTGGGAACCATACCCAGTGCTGCTCAGGGCTTGCTCCAGGTTCAGTGCTCAGGCAAGTGCCCTACCCACTGTACCATCACTGGGACTCACCAATGATGGCTTATAACTTGCCTGGGGTCACATGGTAAGATGAAGACCAGAGATCTCAAGCAGCCAGTGGACACAATCTGGCCAGCAGCTTTGGACTCCCTATGCGAGGCTCCAGGATGGAACATTTTTTTCTTTTTGGGTCACACCCGGTGATGCACAGGAGTTTCTCCTGGTTCATGCACTCAGGAATTAATCCTGGTGGTGCTCAGGGGACCATATGGGATGCTGGGAATCGAACCCCGGTCAGCCTCGTGCAAGACAAATGCCCTACCCACTGTGCTATCGCTCCAGACCCTCCAGGAGGGAACTTGAGCTGCCCTGTCAGAAGGCCAAGCCTGCGCCTGGCTGAATGCTGAAAAGTTAAGGGCTTCGCCACCCTGAGAGGCCGTTCCTCCCCACCAACTGCAGTCCGCGTGCCGCTCCTTGAAAAATGGATCTGACTCAAGGACAAGCAAGTGATTAAATCTCCAGAGACAAGTGGGGGAAATTGCTGCCTGAAAGCAGGAATGGAACTGCACGCAGAGGGAGGGAGAGAGGTCTAGGAATGTGCCCTTGGAGACTGCCGAGGGCCAACTCCGTGGGATCAGCTGGGCCCAACATGCCCAGGAAACAGTTGCTGGGCTTTCTCCTAGGGGCACCTGGATGCTAGGCGTGACCTGGCTCCGTGGAGTTCGTACCAATAAAAACTGGCCCTTCTGGAAAGTCACCGAGCTAGCTATCTGCAGCCTCCAACATGGTCCGGGTGGGTCTGAGTAATCCATCGGGCTTTCTGAATCATGCGGGGGCTGGCGCTGTCGTCCTGTCCTTGCCTCCCGGCTTTCTGATCAGCAGGAAACAGCTGGAGTTGGGCTTGCATTCTGTGCTATTCGCTCCTTCCGTGTTTGCCCCACAGATGCCAGTCTCCTGGGGAGCGCCCTGCCGTTTTCCCCAGAGAGCAAAGGCAAACCGAGGGCAGACAGCAGGGGACACAAGAACAGGGGTCATTGTGGACACCTGCACAAAGGCCTTCGGGGACGGTGATGTTAGGCACCCGGGCATCTTCCAAGAGGAGATACGGGGCTGGCAGCCTGGAGTCCCCGGTTCCAGCACCTCTGCCCTCCTGGCCTCGGGAGGCCGCCAGACGGGGCATGAGAAACCTTGTCCAAAGCTCTCGCTCGTCTGTTTTCACCGCATATTTTTCTTTAAAGTCAAGCCGCTTAAAAAACCTCTTACTCATCCCAACCAGTGACATTTGTGAAATGTGAGTACTAGAAATATCACTGTGGGAAAAACTTATTCCAGGCGACACGTGGAGGCCGGGCTGCCTTTGGCTTCCAAATGAGCTGGCCGGGCCCCACCGATGCGCCGAGAAGCCTCCCTGAACTTGCCAGATGACGGTGACTGGAGGAAAGCCAGGGGCCTGGCGTGGCAAGCGGACTGGACGGGGTCATCTGTTGGGTCCGTCCCCACAGGCACGGAGAAGTGATTCCTGCAGAGTGCATGGCCCGCCATGCTGCCTCTCCTGCTCCAGTCTTGAGGGCAGCCAATTGGGGGGAAGACTGGTTTGTTTGTTAGGAGAACCCCCTCTCCCCCCTACCCCCCCACCTCCTAACCCAAGCTTGACTGGGCCCCTGGGTTTTTGCAAAGTTGAATGAGTGAGCAGTGGGGAACAGACCCCATCTGCAATTCTCAGACTGCAAGCACTGAACCGGGGTGTGTGTGTGGGGGGGGGGAGTCACTTCAAGGCCCTGACAGTAGTGCTGCTCCCACTCCACAGGGTCAGAGACACTTGAGTCCCATGGGTGGCCAGGGATTGAACCCAGGCCACGCCCTAACCTCTGTCCTAATGCCTAACCCGAGTCAGCATTTTTTTTTTCTTTTTAGGTCACACCCAGCAATGCACTGCATGGAGGTTACTCCTGGCTCATGCACTCAGGAATTACTCCTGGAGGTGCTCGGGGAACCATATGGAATGCTGGGAATTGAACCCCGGGTCGGCCACGTGCAAGGCAAACGTCCTACCCGCTGTGCTATTGCTCCAACCCCTTAGTCACAATCACTGTCACTGTCTTCCCATTGTTCATCGATTTGCTTGAGCAGATCCAGTAACGTCTCCATTTTGAGACTTTTTGTTACTGTGTTTGGCATATCGAATACGCCACGGGTAGCTTGCCAGGCTTTGCCGCACAGGCGAGATGTTCTCAGTAGCTTGCCGGGCTCTCCGAGAGGGGCAGAGGAATCGAACTCGGGTCAGCCATGTTGTTCACTTGCAAGGCAAACACCCTACCCACTGTGCTATCACTCCAGCCCAACCCCTGAGTCAGCATTTTAAGTCCTTGTCCAGCACTACCACCAGAGCACGTACACACACACACACACACACACACACACACTTATTTTTCTTTTTTTTTCTTTTTTTTTCTACACCTGGAAGTGCTCAGGGATCACTCCTGGCAGGCTCGGGACCATCTTGGGTGTTGGGGATCAAACCTGGATTAGCAGCCTACAAGGCGAGCACCTTCCCCCCTGTCCCATCTCTCTGGTCCCATGCCT